CCCGAGTCTCTTTCGGGCGCTCAGGAGAAGGCGGCGGTGTGACGGGCCGGGTCTGGGCCCCGCCGAGGGCATCCGCTCAGGCCGAATTGCTCAAACTCAGGGCTCCTCACAGCCCCAGACTGGAGACCTTCCCAAATAGGCCACACACCAGCCACACCGAGCGCTTCAGCCTGGCCCACCAGAAACCTCACGAGCCAAACCCCTCCGACACCTCAGCAATATCCCAGCCCCAGATGGCCCCGGGCCTATACACAGGTGGGGGGTCCTAGCACCCAATCCCACCTACCCGAACAGGTTCTGTCCGGTCCCAAGAAACCAGCCACAGATCCCTGGTCAATTTACCGTGTGGACCGGGCCTATACACAGGTGGGGGGTCCTAGCACCCAATCCCACCTACCCGAACAGGTTCTGTCCGGTCCCAAGAAACCAGCCACAGATCCCTGGTCAATTTACCGTGTGGACCTTACCCACAAATCACGCCGGGCCAGTCCTTTAGAATCTACCATCTAAAGGTTTATTGCCACAAGAACAAAAAGCCTGAGAGTGAGGCTGTTAAAGTATCGTACGTTACGTGCATCGAATCTCCAGTTCTCGGTGCAGGCTCTAGCAGAGATGTTACAGCTGCTGGCTTAACAGTCCTTGGTGCACATCCTGTGTCCGGATGGGGCCACAGTCCTTCCGGCTCGTTGATCCCTGCGAGGCTGCATCTGGGGTCAGGAGCCGATCTGAAGACCAAGATGGAGGCTGCCACGTGGCATCTAAATACCTTCTTCCCCGTCTCTTCTTGGCTGCAGCAGGTCATCTGGCCTGTGGCCTGTCCCTGTGTCCCCTGCTGGTAGCCCCTACGTGTCAGTCCCCATTCCCGAGGTGTGTCCTTGGCTGTTGTTCCATGGAGCCTTGCTCGTTAGCATGTCCATAGGCCCGGCTGCGCCCATCGCTCAGCCACACACCGAGACACATTCGGTATCACGCAGAGAACGTGCCTGTAATGTCACCCTAGACATCACAGTCACATGAAGAGCGCAGCCAGTCAGCCTCTCTTGGACACCTCGCACGGCCCCTTTGCACCACTACTGGGGCCAGCACCCCCCGTGGGCACAGCAGTGACCGGCTGGGGGGGGA